CTCTTTCCAGCCATTAAATGCTCTTTAACGTAATGCCAGTGGTATACGGGACCTAGGTTTTTGTTTCCATCTTGCACCACTGACAATGTTAAACCAGACAGCGATGGATATCCGAGGAACTTTTCCTCGGCCAACACCAGGGTCGAACTATTGGTTTGGTTTGTCTCTGCCCCACGTGTGCTGTCTGAAAAAAATAAAATAAAAAATGCAAAGGCCGGCCAATGAAAAAAAAAAAATAAAAAAAAAATTACAAAAGCTGGAGTTCATTGATGAAACAATGAAGAAAAATGTAAGTTTCCTTTAAAGTCCAGATTCGTCAGTTTAGCGCCAAGGGTGAATCATTTGCAAACTACAATATTGTGAAAGATGAATCTCTATGAATATCATGCAGTCCTAATATAGTTAAATTCCGCTCAGTATTTAAAAAGATATGAAATTTCTCGATCTATGCCGCTTGCTATAATGCAATACCCCACCGTCATTTTGTTGTCCGCGAAAATTTATTGATATACCCTTATTAAGTTTGATGGAATCCAAGCCGGTACATTATCTAGCGTTGGTATTTTGATTTTGTTTTCTTAATTAAATAATCAATCGGAGTACATATTAGCGTTGATTAAGCCGTGAGAAATTTGATATTTTAGCGACAAATTCAAATGGCGCATGGGGCTAAAAGAAATATATATGTGAGATATAAAAGGTTCATCGTCGGTAGCTGAATTTAATACTGATCTAACTAATCAGTGATACAACAAAAATTACTACAGTTGCACAGTGAATATGTAACGTCAGTTAAAGGATTGAAATTGAAGATCCTGTTCAGTCATAAGCGAACATGTTTAAGGTGATAATACACCTATACCATTGACTTAAAACGTTCACATTATTCATTATTATTCATTCAATACCTGCAGGGGTTCGTATATAGAAATAATATTCTTCTCTCCTTTATGATAATAGTAGCCTTCGATATGGTCTACATTTTGATAGGTGACATGCTTAGTCGCCCGTGATGTTAATAGACTGATGATGAGTGTCGACCATCAATCAAAAAAATGCCAAACTAATATTTGTATTATGCAGAACTCAAACTTCTAGTTGAAACATCAGATTGTAAGCGGTTTATGTAAACGCAATTGAAGGTAAGGCTGGTATGTTTTATCTAATGTTTATATAGACTGCGCCATGGTATTTTTACGAATGAGGAAGTAAACATATGTGTATTACTGAAGAAAAGTTTGTTTGGACAATGTGAGATTGTTTTAACGTCGCAATATGAATCTGTTTGCATATTATAACGGCTAGTAGCAGACTTGTCACAATTACTGAAATCTGAATATATATCAACTAGACCAGGGTGGCCAAATATCAAATGTGCGACTTCAGTTTTTTCAAAGATACCAACATTTTTAAAAATAGAAGATAAAAACATGACCTAAGAATGGATTGTGCAAGAGTTAAAAAAATAAAATCTGCCTGCTGCAGATCTTTCTTTTGGACTCAAATGTTATATAAATTATTAATTAGACATTTATTCAACTCTCTAGACCACCGGATGGTTGTGATTTTGAACGTATTGAAACAGGATCGAGGCTTTGTTTATTTTCGTAACAACGGCATCAATGAAAACCAAGACTACGCTATTCTTCAATATATTTTATTTTCGTTGTAAACTATTATAGCAATAACGATCAGCTCTTTATCTAAAACCATATTTACCGTAACGACGAGATTTTGGATTCTGTTTTGATTTACCGGTATGTGGATTAATTACTTTATTGCATTAGGATAACACATTATATTGACTGCGGTCTATTATATATCCGTATTCTGTGACGCACCATGCATAATAATATAACATTTCTTCCAGCATTTGTTTTATCTCCCTGAAAAAAGGTAAGCACCGCTTGACAAAATGAACGAAAGTATGTCTCAATCCTTTTGAATTTCATATTTTAAAGTAGCAATTTCATATTTTTACGTTATATTTTTAAAATTTATTAAAATAAAGCCTTAAAATAGATGGTATCTATAAACAGTCCTACCTTGTTAAACATTAATCCTATTAATCCTATAATTCACTATTGCCAGTTTAGAAATTGGCAAAAATATCATTTTCCTCTTCAAATTCAAACGTTTGAGGATAGCTACTCCATGGTGCAGAATAGAAAACAAGGGAGGTAATTGTGTTATTATATCCGGTGTAAATGAGTTTTAAGTGTGAGAATGACACCTATGATCGTGTAATAGTGAGTTGACAACCTATTGAGCAAAAGACATAGAAATAATTATGTTTTGACTTTCTTAGAAAATATGAAATTGTAACTTTCAAAGATGATTTTAAGAATAATGATTGCAGTGACTGTAGTGCTCCAACACAAAGCATATGACACATGGAACAATAATGGTATTCCACCGTGACTGCAGTGCTCCAACACAAAGCATATGACACCTGGAACAATAATGATATTCCACCGTGACTGCAGTGCTCCAACACAAAGCATATGGCGCCTGCAACAATAATGGTATTCCACCGTGACTACAGTGCTCCAACACAAAGCATATGGCGCCTGCAACAATAATGGTATTCCACCGTGACTGCAGTGCTCCAACACAAAGCATATGGCGCCAGCAACAATAATGGTATTCCACAGTGACTGCAGTACTCCAACACAAAGCATATGAAACCTGCAACAATAATGATATTCGACAGTGACTGCCGTGCTCCAACACAAAGCATATGGCACCTTCACTATTTTCATAATTAAGTATGTACACTGACTTAGATAGGTTATATAGCATCTTTAACGTAGGTTTTTTGCATTATCGACACATTGTCTGTAAACATGGTGCGAAGGTGATTGTCAGAAGCGCACAGATGGCAGATAAACGGTAAGCACGCGGCGGGAATTTACTTTAAAGTTATTGGCCGTCAACTTTACTGCACTTCCATCACACAGTGACCAGCCGTCTGGTTCAGAAACATGGACAAACTGATGCTGTGAAGGACTTCCGCGTTCCGGGCGATCTAGTACAAAGTTAGCCGTTTGCAGCGAGTTCATACTCAATGGTAACCCATTCTCAACATTAATTAAGGTCGTAGCTAGGCCGCCTGAAAACAGCAGGAATTGATCCCAGAAGGGCCATCGGATAGGTGGTCAACAGAGACTACGTCTGCCTCGGTATTTAGATAGACGGGGTTGGAATCTGCAGTCGTTTGGTACAGTCCATCGGTCGGATGAAAGCAGGTGTCTGGTCCTGTCTGTAAATGGACGGATTAGTGTGTAGAGACACAGAAAAGGAGCTATACGTCCTGGGATATCAGACCAACCGTTCCGTACGGATAGATGGTCAACAGAGACTACGTCTGCCTCGGTATTTAGATAGACGGGACTGGAATCTGCAGTCGTTTGGTACAGTCCATCGGTCGAATGAAAGCAGGTTTCTGCTCCTGTCTGTAAATGGACGAATTAGTGTGTGGAGCCACAGAAAAGGGGCTATACGCCCTGGGACATCAGACCAACCGTTCCGTGCGGTAGAGGCTCGGTTATGGAGTAAGGAAGTTTCTCGCACCATTACTGGCTGGACATGTTTACAACCAGGCATCCTTACAGGCAACAAGTTGGCAGCATGCAATCCTGCAGAATGATGTAATAATGTGCATGTCTTGTTGAGGCGCTGTCATCTGTTGCCGTCCAATTGGTCGATTTCTACTAGACCTCGTCTGCAGGAAACGATCGAACAGTCTCAGGATGTTGGTGTGCTGGCATCCAAACCGTCGGACCACGACTCTGGTACCCAAGACTTGGTGTGAATCATATAATTAGCATACCGTTATATCTTCCTCAGAACTGTTGGGGCTGTAGCACATTTGATACAACATAAAACCACGATTCAATGTTATCATTCTGTCGAATTCAATTTTTTTGTGATTGCAAGAATTGATCTGTAGTGCTCCCGTTACATGATCGTGAAAACACCCTTGCCAAGTTCTGTCATGATCTGTGCATTCCAGCTCAGGGCATTTTAAGGGATTGACGCTTGTTGTGGGGTGGGGGTTCCTAGGACGGGAAAATTTTGAAAAAACCGGCGAGATGTGGTGCATTGTGGCATACCTCTCTAATCAAAAAATGCCACCGTTATGGCTAGCCCCCCCCCCCCTCCGGAACTTGTTTTCTCGGTATAAAGTTGATGTTCCATGGCATGTATAGCCCCTTTATAATCACCTATTTATGAAAGTGGGGCGTTTTCATTGCGTCTTAGTAATACAGTATGAATGAAATGACTTTGTAAACTAGAAGAGGGGAGACAACTCCTATAATCATGCGGTAATCTTGCTTGCCAAATTTATAACTCACGATAATTCTTGTTTGATCTAAGAAAACTCTCCCAAATCCAAAGCAATTTTAATTAAAATTACTGTTTTATCGAAAAATTCAGATCGGTTGTTTAACTGTTCCTTAAATTTTCTATTCCAAATTTTTTAATGCAATAATTAGTGGTTTTGCAAGGCCGTTTTTAAGGTCATAAATAAAAGCACGCTTTTTATAATTAAAAAAATGGGTTTTGTCTAAATTTCTTTACATGGATCAGTTGGTTTCTAATGATTTTACATCGCCATCTTTATCACCTTTGGATACACATAGTAATAATATAATTAATTTTTCGTATGAGATGCCCGATTCTTTATAGGACTAGGATCCAGATGGCAGATGTGCTAAAGAATTAAAAGAACACAATAATAACAGTACCCGTATTTTTCACTTTGAAATTTATGTTAACGATCTGGCAACTGAGAAAACTAAACTTCATGTGTCATGTAAATTTTTCAGCATTCTTATATAAATCTAACTTGGGGAAAATATTAAAAATTGAATGTGGAGAAAGCAAAATGATTTCGCACCCACGCACGTGCCACTGGCAACAGTTCAATGAGAAGGGAGTAAATAGAAACCACGTGGTGTCTGAATATCAACCAATGAAACTTTAGTATTCCTGTCAGCCCGAGAATGAGAAAAAATTGAAAACATGGACCAAAATACATTTGCCTGTTTATCGATCGAAAGTAGCAAGATAGACACTTCAAACGCTTACACATCGGGTGACACTGTGCTAGTAGACCACGCCAATTTTGACAAAGATACAAATTATACGGATGTTTACCAGTTTCAAGCTCCAAAACAAGTGGAAATAGTTCATGCTAAAAATGCTAAATTATGTCAAATTTCGCCAGTAAACAGAAAAGGACCGAAAAATCCGGGTGAAGCTGAGACCACTTGTCATTTACGGAATTTTGACAATGGAAATTCAGTTGGTTCCGACACCACGCGGATAATGGGTGCCAATCACTCTTATTCGCTTAAAAGTCGACAGGATATGAGGAAAAATGGAGAGGAGAAATTTAGCAGCACTGACGAACTGTGTTTTAGACCAGAAATATCTGACCCAATACCTCAAGGAGACTTTAATACCATGTCTAAGAGGGAGATGGCTTCCATTCCAGCCAGTACTGGCACAAAGGAAAATGGACAATTTAGCTATGCTTACAGCGAGGCCAAATGTAACACAACACCCAGGAATAGGGTAAGGTATTATTTACCTTCAATGTATTAGTGTGTCATGGAGTAGATTAGAATCCAAGAGTCTGTAGAATAATTATGATAATATGCTTTGCAACCACTATCTACTTGATCTAGATTGAAAGTAAGCTCATGTCTAGACTTATTGTCTTTTGTTGTTTACATGTTGACAATAATAAAAGTATTACTATTAGTCTACATGTTTAACAATAATATTACCAAGTATGAATGTTTGTGGAGTCATGTAACAACAGTTTCTGTGTAACCTCAGTGCTGTCAAAATGGTTCATGATGAGTCAGTAACTGTATATGTTCAGTAATCACGAAGACTACATGAAGTCATGTTGCTGGAAAAGCGATAAAAAAATGAGGTGTTACTTTGCAGATTTATGAGTTCGTTCTTGTTTAAAATTAGGTGTGGGTAGTAATTTGTATTATAACTTACTGCTTGGATCCCCTACTGGGTTGTAAAAGGAGGTGCAATTTCTTGACTATTACACTGAAGGGATAATTAGACTGTAGGCCTTATACTAATTTATAGCTTATGTTGATAATCAAATAAAATAAACTATAGTTGAATGGATAGGTACAAGCTTGTAAATCATGTAACCTTTTCCCTATTACTTAACAGTGCTCATCTTACAATGTCAAATCTGCCTTATAGATTTAACTATTTATAAAGTGCATCATTTGGGCATTTCTCCAATTCAATGTCTTCAAATATATGCTTTGAGTCTGTAACTTCTCAGATCTCTGATAAGAAAGGATCCAAATTTATTTAGTTTGTGAAAATGTTTATGTTATAAAAATGCATTTGTCCTCGTTTGACAGCTTTGGGCTTTTAAATACATGTACATGTAGTAAAAACACATAAAACCTGGGTGTTCCCAGGTAAACCAGATAAAATTAACTACCGATATTTAATAAACAAGACCAAAAATTTTCGGTGATACTTTTATCCAGTTTTGTTCTACTTGAAATAAAATGTACTAAAATACTAAGCTTATAGAATATATTTTTATTATGAAATGTATGTTATTTACTTCAGTCTTTGGGAATACATTGTATTGTACAGTGTTTCGAACATTAATGAATATCATATGCTTCTGTACTAGTTATTAGGTCAGGCATATTGTAAGCCGGATTACATGTACAAATCTACACAATTTCAATACTAAACAGTATCCTTTTTTACTTTAAATTTAAAAATGCTTCCTTTTCTAAGGAAGCCAAGGTGGCTCAGAGCGTTCGACGTAGGCTCACTAACTTGGAGGTCCCGTGTTCGATCCCTGTGCTTGCCGAGAAAGTTCATTGGGATTTTCCACATGGTTGGAAATCAATAAGCGTAGGTCATAGTGCTGTTGTCCAGGCAAAGTTTCCCCTCTTAGCACACTGTATGTATGTCCATTTTCATTAGCCCAGTCGTAGCACAACAGTAGGATGTTAAACCCCATTTTATTTTCCTTTTCTTTTCTCACGATCTGATTAAAACACAGATCCTATTTTATTTCATTTTTTATAGTTCAAAATTTCGTTTTACTTGTCTTTACTACACTAGGATATGGAAAAGTTGTTATATTACCGTAGTTTTGGTTGAAGTGAGGGATATGCCAATGAAACAGTCTGTTACAACTTACATCGACTTCTTGGCGTGCCATGCACGGAACTGTGGGTAAACCACTACTGGTACATTAAGTTAACCTATACACTAATCTATACACTACACTAAATTTAGTACTTCCGTTTGAAGTGTACTGTACATGTTCATGCACTGTAGTATCAAACTTGTATCACACATCAGATTAAAAAGTTTTTTGTGTATCTCCATCAACCTACATGTAGAGTATATTTCATGTTTATGGGACAGTTATTGACAATATTTCATATACTCTGAATATACTGTACATCTACATGTAGTAGTTAATAAAATAAACTCAGAGTACACGTACATGATGTACTATAAGCTTATATAATTTATTATAATAAAGCAGGCCATAACATGAACATGTAATTTTGCAATAATAGATACTACTGGTACTGTTTATATTTATAATTTCACTTCTCATTGATGATGTAAATTGAGGGATACTTGTATTCATCATCATAATATACATGTACATGTAGCTTAAAATTGATAATGAAAGTTGTTATAAACATTGTCATTATCAAATTGGTTATTGACTAGAAGATACAATCTTGAACAGGTGCGTTTTAAGGCTGGACTTAATAATTTCTGCAGATTTTGATTGCTGTATGTAGTTAATTCCATAGATGTGGCGCAGAGTTTTAAAGGGCTCTGTTTCCAATTTTTTTACACTGGGTTTTGGTGTTCCTAGAAGACGTTATTAGATGATCTCGAGTTTCAAGATTCAGCATATCAGGTTGTTAGAGTACATGATGGATGTACAATTGTACATGTAGATGTCATGTAGGTGACCAGTTGTCTAAGACTATGTATGTAGGCCTGTGCAAGGTAGTGTTGGCACAATATATCATTGAATCGATGTATCATGATTCCCCTTCTCACGATTTGCTATTGAATCGCAAAACTAGATCGATTTTTCACGATAATTTTTTATGTTTTTTGTCACTTCAGTAAGTAACCTGTCACTCTTAATTATACAGGTCCCACATTATCCACTCTTAAATTGTTTTGGTCCTTATTTTGATCCACATCAATATTGTGATATGAAACAATTTTATTTCTACGACATCGGCAGGACTGAACATATTGTATCGTAGTACCTGAATCACAATGCGCATTGTATCGTGACTGCAGTGGTAATACCCAGCACTAATATAAGGCTGGGTGAGGATTTTAAATTAACTAAGTCTCTAACTCAATATCATCCAAAGTCTTTGACATTGAAAACACGAATTATTTGTCAATTTAAATCAACAATGAAGTTGTGATATTACCGGGAAAAGATGGGCTTCTGATATCCAATGTTTAAGACAAAATAAACATTTTACCATTGGTACCCGAATCGTGAACCATAATGTCTTTTAGCTATGCTCACCATTTGTAACAAGGAACTCGAAGAACAAGGCTAGACATATTGCATAAGTCATGTCAAACGGTGACCTCATATTCTTATCTGGAGAGCAGGGGCAATTAATAAATACTATTGGTGTGGACTGGAATAACCAGATGCTAGAGATGGCATATTTCGCCAAACATAATTGATTTGAAATCAGAGTAAAAACAGAAACGATTGAATGTAAATTGGGATTACATTATTATATGCATTGCGACCCATTTGTGTCAATTTCTAGGTCACGGATATTAGCGATTTAGCTCCTTTAAATTCAATCTGCTTAGCTTATCAATAGGAAGCCAGTGGAGATTTTAGTAGGCTAAATGCATATATACGATGTGCTGTATAAATTAATGTAAACAACTCTTGGGTATGGTAACTAAATGCATAATGTATTGGGTATTTCTTATCTCCACTCTCCAAGCTGACTATAATTCACCATAACTCAGAAAATACCGGTAATAACTCTACAGGATTCAACTGTTCAGGAAATATGGCTAAACATGTAGGTGTATCCTTTAGATAATGTACATATACATACATACATGTATAAGAACATAATGTATTTGCCTGCATATAGATACATGTACATGTATACTACAAATGTATACTGTGATGTCAAAATACAATTCGTTGAAAACACCCAGACCATTGGATTTTATGACATGTGCAAATAGAGGATGTATTGTATATTGTTTATCCTTGATACAGAGAACAATTGGATGAAAGGCAATATAAAGGAAAATAAAGCATAAAATAAAATGTAACATGTACAAACTGTACTTACATGTACATAACAATAAACAGTAAATAGTAGTGTTATTATTGCACATGGCATTCATATTTCCTTTTCTAACACATAATAATTCTTTATTCCTTCACAAGCTATTGTTTAGTAGAAAACATGACCTATTCTATATTGTTAGTACTAGTTAGTAGTCATGACCTATACAAATACAATACAGTGCAAATACATTATAGGTCAGTCAGTAAAGATTTACATGTAATACCATAAGACTATGGGTGGGTTATGGAATTTTGTGGGGGTGACACCAAATGTATCCTGAAGTCCACCTCAAGAAAATGGCAAAGCTCTTTTGATGCACATTTAAAAATTACAATTCCTTTAAAGTCTTACCAAAACCCATCTCATAATGGGCAATCTTGTCAGTGGAAGTGCTTGCATGTGGTTTAATGCTATTTTAAAGGTACAATCACCAGTAGATTTTTTCCTTGGTGGAAACACTAGTACATTGTACCATGTCAAAAGGCCAGTATAACTTTATCTTCTAGTGTGTCCACAAGAATTGTCAGTACGGTCAAGGACAATAACTCTAACTGATTATCAGAAATTGATGAAGGGGTTTTAAGTTAATTGGATGTTAATGTTAACTGCTGGAGCGTCCACAAAATTTTCAAATTGATGATTATCGGAAATCGTTCAAAATCTATAGTCATTTGTATCTCATAACCATACAAGTTTGTAACCTCTGTTTATATAAATTTCTAGTCAAATGGATAATAACTTTAACCTTTAGTCAGGCCAGACGGACAAAAATGACAACACTATACATGTACATGTACCATCCCATTTCAACAGAGGGGATGGATGGCCGAATGGTTAGCACTCGCGCGCTGTATCATACGGCCTGTCATTGACTATTGAGTCAACTGGCGGGGTTTTGATTCCCCGGTTGTACATGACAAGGGGTAGGGTCGCCTGTCCAACCTCGTGGGTTTTCTCAGTGTCCTCCGGTTTCCTCCCACTGCTAAAGACCCTTACCATGTGTTAGTCCCGAAATGACCTAGTTTGTGTCAAGTGGACGTTAAACCCCATTTCTCTCTCTATCCCATTTCAACAAGGCTCTCTTTGTTTGATCTGTATCATGATTGTACGCACAAAAATGGCAAAATTATTGCATAGTATTGAATATTTTGAATAATTTTTGGACCTTTTTTATATAAA